GTAGGTAGGTAGGTAGGTAGGTACCCTAAACCCTAAACCCTAAACCCTAAACCCTAAACCCTAAACCCTAAACCCAATGTATGTATGTCTATGTATATGTAGATGCATATGTGTATGTGTATATATATATATGTATGTGCGTGTATATGCATGTGTATGTGCATGTGCATGTAATATGTGTATATATATATATATACACATCTATATCTATATATATATATGCATACATACATACATACATACATACATACATACGTACGTACATACATACATACATACATACATATATATATATATACACGCGCATGTACACACACACATATACATATATACATATGTACATACTTACATGTACCTGTGTTTGTAGAATACACGTATCTACACACACCTAAACTATCTAACCAACCCGATTCGAAGTGCGGCTAAGCCGTGTATGCTTTCGGACTGAATGGCTCAGTGATTCCAATCGGTGCCCTTTCTGACCATCCTGGTTGCACAGACTTCAGTACGTAGCAACTTAAACTTTGGGGCCCAGGGTTTAGGAGTACTATAGTCGCTGGAGATGCCAGCAAGTTTGAACCTGAATTATGGATGATTTCTGCTGGGGTCTTGCGTGGGGATATTGATCAGCTCTAATCCTAAATCAGCCAAATCCTTTGTAAGTGTCTGTCTGCTGGGGCTGTTTCAAGACGTTTTTTGGTTATGGTCGGATTCTGCAAGCCCTTAACAAGATAAAGCTTACCCACTCCGCCACGGTGCAGCTGTTGTAATAGCAATGGCAATGCGGAATACACGCCGCGGAGGCAAGGGATTTTGGTGGCTGCTTTGGGTGTCTGGGGCTCTAGTGTTCAAGGTGCATCTGGTCTGGGAGACGGCTGAACTGGCATAATTCTCCACACTGTCAGGATTACTTGTCGCTTGCCAGTGCCGCTGCTGTTGTGCTCCCTGCCGGTTGGTGATACTCCCCGGTCAAAGAGATGAACTTCGGGGCAGTAGTGCATGGTACTTTTAGCTTGAGGATCCTAGGCTCCGGTTTTGAGGGTTCGGGTTTAAGGGGCTCTAAACCCTCAGCACGGACTGAGGTGCCGGCCAGCGCCTATGCTAAACCCCGAACCGCTTGCCATCTCGGGCCTGCCGGCGAGATGAAGAGGCAAGACACCATGAGGCCGGTCGTGCAGAGTCTTGTCCTGGGTCTTTAGGGTGTATAGGATTTTTTCCCACCAGGGTTTATAGGAGTTATATAGGGTTTAGCGTTTATAGGATTTAGGCTTTAGGGTTTAGGGTCATTATCCCGAGACCCGAAACCCAGCAGCCCTGAGGCCGAAAACAACGGAGAGTTCTTATCATATAGTCCGAGAACATAGTATGATATTGAGTTATTACTGTTGACTTATTACTGGATTATACTTTTATACTCTATGTTTTTGTCTTTATATGTGTGTGTGTGTTTATTGTTTATTGTTATACTATTATCGCATGGCCCAGGATGAAGGGCCTCGCGCCCGCAGCATGGATAAATTCACGACAAGCTCCAGAATTCTCAGAAAAGGTTTATAGGGTTTAAGTACCATGATGAATGATGACCTGATGACCATTGCCGGCTTCAGGAAAGCTGCTTCTCTTCAGGGCCCTTTCGCTGAGTTGGAGGCCACTTGCGAATCTGACTCTACTCAGAGGCTTGGGCTTTCCATCATATTTCAAGAGACAAGCGTCGCAAGCACCCCTAAGGGCCCGAGCTGCAGCAGAGGAGAGGAGAGCACGCACTCGCAGGACCTGAGTTCGGCTCACAACTCCCTCGTGCAAGGCAGCTTGGTGCATGTGTTGAAATCCAGACCTTGGCATGGAGAGCTTCCAGGCCGGATTTTGCGACGCAAGGCCGAACAAACCACCCGTCGCAACCAACTTGGCGGTCGCGCCCCGCTGGATCAGCCACAGCCCATGCCGGGATCCATACTGCAGGATGCTTGAAGCATGCACCAGTAGTGCAAGATTTCGTCCAGCCACCGTCACACCCAGGCATTCCAGGCGAGGCAAGTACCAAACGTATAGTTAATTTGATCGGGGTGTCTTTTCGCCTAATGGGCTTGGACTGCTGTTTTTTATTGATATCCTCTGCCACGCTCTTTTCTCTGCTTACGACTGTCGCGCCTGAATCGCAGAGCCCTAAACGAGCCGCCTCTAACCAATCCATCAACCAATGAAGCAATCAGCGAGCAATCGAGCAGACAATCATGTACTCAAATAGCCCGGAAACCAAGGGCACACACGCTGGTCTGCTTTTTGGGTGCTGTATGTACGCACGTATACGGCATGCATGTGAGTATTTTAAACAAACAAACCAACATAACTCTGTATGTATTTAACACACACACACACACATATATATATATATATGTACATACATATGACATCTTCACATATGTATATATATATATATACATGAAGTATTGCATGTCAACCTGTGGTTTATAAAGATGACACAAAACCGTATTCCGAAAGCCTCTGCGGTAGCTACAAAACCCCAAAACCCCCTGAAAGCTGACATGTGCCCGAACCCCAAGCCCTGAACCCTGGGTCCAAGGCAACTGGATGATGGCCGCAGCTTTGGTGAGTTCATTCATGTGGGCACAGGCGAGACAAGCCAGAAAAGCACCTGACTCAAACAGCAGGGCTTGGGTTTGAGGCTTCGGGTTTTGCTTTTAAGGGACCTATAAGGGTTCCCTTAAGGGGATCTGTAAGGGTTCCTTTAAAGGGATCCATAAGGGTTCCTTTGAAGGGATCCTTTAAGGGTTTTAGGTCCCCTGAAGCTGACTGAGTGTAGCTCATTGGCTTACTTGGAGGTTCATGGGTAGTTATAAGTGGGGTTATAAGTAGGGTAACTATAATTATAACCCGTATTAGGGGACTTATAACTCCACTTATAACTACCCATGAACCTCCAAGTAATGTCAGACGATGGTCTCATGGTAAGTTGGTGAGCTAAGACAGGCCTCTTGGGGGGTGGCTGTGAGAGCAATACAGTGCAGCGCAGAAGAGGCAATTTACTGCAGGCTGTGGTAGTTGTTCATTTCATGGCCATGTTCAGCAGCATCACCGCAAGGCTTTGATCACCATCCTCTTTGCCCAACTCTTATTCGTCTTCATCGTCCTTTCGGCAGGCGGCACAGCTTTTGCAACACGACAGCTGATGATCACACCAAACCAAATCGCAAGTGCCAAAAGTAAAAGGTGTCCTGAGTGTTTTGGAATTCTTCTCAGGACTTTCCCTGTCACCCGACCCCTCAGTTGTTGCAGTCGAGACCGAAGCCGCGCCGGAGGCTTTGCAAACGGGGAAGCTGGCGTGTGCGGGACGCTTACAGGGAGTATTGAGTTCAACACTGAACCAAAAACCCGCGCCCCGTGCCTACGCCCAACAGCGCCACGCAGGCTAGCAAGGCAGCCTCCACACACGTATGCTGAGTAAGGCTATAGCTTGTAATGGAGCACCCGTCGAAGAAAAGCATTCTTGAGAATGCATCAGAGATGTGACTAACCTCTTCCCGAAAGCTTAGGGTCGCGGCCACAACATCAAAGCTCGAGCTCGGCCGATAATATGTAAGGGGATATTTCTTGGTTCTGGTCGCTTGTGCCAACGGATGCACGGAGACAGGGTCGTATGATCCTAGCAAAGCTTTCGTGAGTTCGTTAGTTAGCGAAGGCCTACAGATTGAATCTACAACAGCAGGTACTGCTATTAGTAGCATCACTCCCCTGCCAGCAACACAACCAAGTCCTCTTCACTCCGCTTCCTTTTACTACAGAACCGACATGCTTACCTGACCTAAATGGATCACGTGTTACAGAACTCTGAACCTTTGGCAGAATCCGATATCCGTACCGAAAGTCCAAACCTGAAAGCGGACAGACTCTAAAGATACCTAAACTCGATACCCGACATCCCCCAATGTAGCTCTGAGTTCCAGGTTGATCTTGGCCCCGCTGGGAGTCTTAGAAAGTTCGAGACCTGGAGACCTTGCATTGCTGCGGGACTTTAGAACATTTCGTGAAAACACCGCCGAAGCCACAAACCCTTACCGTCAAGCCAAGCCGAAAAGAAATGCCAGCATAGGCCTCGGCCCCAAGCAGCGAAAGAGTGCACAGCAGTCCCAGGCTCTACAGACCCAAGAGGAATCCAGCAAATATGGGTTTGGGCTATACTAGACCTCTATATCATTATAAGGAACCCCCAAAATAGTATGGCGAATTATTTAAGCAAACATATTAAGCCCACAAACTGCAGCAGGAGCACGATTAGCACCCTAGAACACCCACGGGCACGACTTGGGAGCGGGCGGGAAGACCAGTGGCACCCCAAAGACAGCTCCACTGTGTCGCTGCACGATTACGAGCATGGAAATTTGGTTGCCACGATCTTAGCGAAGTCGGACAAAGTGAATGCCTACATGAGACCCTAAACCCAAAACTCGACCCTAAACAGCCGGACGCGATGTCTTCCTAAGTCACCTCAAAGGGGCCAGGGCAGGACCGCAGTCGAAAGCGTGCATAGATCCCTCGAGATTAGTTACTGATTAGTTGCCTCCTTGACTCTTGACCGACTGGGAACTCACACCCGGAACCCTTCCACTTAAAACTTCTCGGCCTCACCGTTTTGGAAGTAGAGGATCGCAGCCCAAGCTATAGGCACCTGGGTTTCTAGGGCTGAGGCTTTCAACTCTCACGGCTCGCACGGAAACCCAGGATTTTGTGGTCTGAGGTGTACAGAGTTGAAGAGGGCTGCGAATAGGACTGGGTTTCTACTTTCACCCACTACCGCCTGAGACTCTAGCTTGACCCAGACCCTACATGCCCTCAACGCCCTCCACCCTACGCAGGCAGGCCACAAAAATACGAAGAAAGGAACGACTTTCGGGGTCAGCTCTGGCAGTTGCTGGCTTCAGTTGGCTTTGAACTTCGGAACCTGCTTGGAGGTTCATGGGTGGTTATAAGTGAGGTTATAAGTAGGGTAACTGTAATTATAACCCATATCAGGGAACTTATAACTCCACTTATTACTACCCATGAACCTCCCAGTGAGAGTGCCGTTGTCAAGGCAGACACGGAGTTTTAGGCCACAAAGTCTGAACAGGTACGCGCACAAGTCCTCGTAAACAGCAACAGCAACCCCAAGTACATAGCATGAACCCGACGAGAGTGCTGCGGAATTACACAGAACGGTCATCAAATGCCCGACACTCGAAAAAGTGCCAGTGCCACGATCACACCTGACCCCATGGAAATGATGACGGCCACAGTGATTTGTGGCACAGGTTTCGTTTTTATTGCTCTGTTCGCTCGGATTTATTGCACCTGCTCGTGTAGCATGGCGCTAATTGCTGCGTCTGGCTGCGCCGGTCCTGCTGCTGCTGCTGCTGCTGCTGCTCTTGGTGGCCTCAGTGCCACTCTTGCTGCTGTTGCTGCCTGCTTGTTACGTGCTTGCTGCTTGCTGCTGCTGTATCCGTCACTGGTTCTTGCTGGTGCTGTTGTTGCGATTGTGGCTACTGTTGTTGCTGCCGATGCTGCGGCAGCTATGGCAGCAGAAGCAGCCGCGGCAGCAGCAGCAGCGGCAGCAACAGCAATGGCCAACTCATTTGTTGCCGTGGCTGTTGTTGCCCTGAGGGTGAAGTTATCGTCGTCGTTGCAGTTGTCCTCGTGGTTCATGCGTAATCTGCTTTGCGGCGGTGGTCGGCGTCGCGGTCCAAAGCGGTGTCGTGGCGCATCTGGTTGCTGCAGCTGTGGCAGTAGTGCCAGTAACAGTACAAACTGCAGCAACAGTAGCAGTAGCAGTAGT